CAAGAGTTTGTATTGCGAAATGCTATTAAACATACAAAAACTGTACCGTATTACCCTGCGTCTAACGGGGCGACAGAGAATGCCGTGCTAAAAAGAAGTTTAAAGGATAATACTAATTGCTTAAGGATAATATTAGACAGGATGCTTTATGTAAATATTTATTTTATTATCGCTCGATACTTCATTGTACGATGGAAAATATACCAGCGGAATTACACTTAAACAGACGTTTGAGTATTAGAGCCATTAGAGTCTCTCCGCGTTGCTTGCACTTTTTTCACTCAACATCTTCGCTTTCTCTTTTTTCAGCTCCCAAATATATATTTACCCCATTTTAAGTGCAAAAATATTTAGGGATTTTGAATAACGCAAACAGACCTATTGAGAACTTCTACACTAAAAGCTACATAAAAAGCTGAGTTACGTTAGATTATACGTAAAAATTGTATATGTAGAAGAAATTGCAAAAAGTACATTTTATAAATATAAAGGCGAGGAACAGAACAAAAACAGGACACATATTATGGAATTGTCGAACTGTTTGGAATGAATTCTGATCAGAGTTATTTCGTTTTCCGTAGAATCTAGGGAATAATTGAATAATTCCGATCAGAATCTTATGGATACGCATACATATGCAGAATATGCAACAACTGCAACGTCTCATGAACACTCACGATTTGATTTATTCCATTAGATCAAAAAATATAAACCAATCAGATCTAGTTTAACCTATAAATTAAACAAAGATATCTATCGTGTAGGTGATATGGATAGAAAGTCTATAATCAGAAAGTCGCCAACTTGATACTTGACCCGAATATCTTGCTAATTGATTCAGGGCGCGTGGCGCTTGAAAAGGTTAAAGTGACAATAATAGGAAAATAAAAGCCATAGTTTGCATCATTGTCACTCAATTTTTTCTGAGTATCACGTGCCCTGAGCTAATCACGAGCGGTTTGAGTCAATTTGGCGACTTTCTGATTATAGACTCTCTATCATGGATCACGGATTAAACGTACGTACAGAAGCCCAATGACTACATTTACATCGTGCGCTTAGTCCGCGAACTGTACGATAGGTGTTTTCGTTTAATTTACAGGATAAACAAGGACATTTATTGTATAGGCTGCGGTCTAAATGCACGGTGTAAACGTAGCCAATGAGCAACGCGAGATTATTAGTTATATAATTTATATAGGTCATGCTAAATGTTATTGAATATATGTTATAGAATTTATGACATCGATTATGGCGCTGGTAGAGTGCTTGCTAGATATAGTTTTTATTTGTTATCTTTGTATTACGTCTAATAAACAACGAAGATAGAATGCGCAGAAATAGCGCTAATAGCGTCTCCGAACGCACTAGAAGCGTGAAGAGAGAAAAAGACACATAGCGGCATCTGATCGTAGCAACATCATTCATTTCTTCACAGCAGGCCTTGTACTCTGAACGATACCTCCACTCGCAAAAAAGGCATTATTTGTCCAAACTAAGCACACTATGTCAATCCATTCCACCATAATTGGTGGCATAGGTAATGATTTGATTGTGCTGATTGATTGATTTTCGGTGATTTTGAGAATCGAATGAAAGATTTTATAATCTTCATTAATAAAGGTAATTCAATACGTTTCTTTGTAAATGTTTTGTTATTTGATTATGTAGTTTCTTAAAAAGAGTGACCGCAAAAATCGCCCGTTCTTTGGACCTTCAATTTTGGAATTGAGCTGTCAAATTTTACCTTATATTCAGACATTAATCACATTAATATCTCATTGTAGGGTATCATTTGGCACATAGTTCAGTCTAATTTTTTTTAGTCCAAAAATTGGGGGCCTAAAAAACGGAGGAAAAAACTCTTCACTATTTGTAAATGTAATGGTTGTATTAAGTTCAGATTGTTATTTTAATATATTATAATGTTATTACTGTTATACTGATACAGGTGAAGATCTCTGAATTTGTACATTTTAACTAACTTTTCGTGCAAAAACGTGAGTATTAACAGTTATTAATATTAATTTTATGAATAATAACGATGCAACATTTTCCTTTAATATAAGTGAAATGTTTAAGATTTTCAGTGGATTATCCTGTATATTATAATATATGCGCAATATATATATTTAAACGAAAATTATTGCAAATAAATCTCTTGTGCAGTTATGTAATTATATATATAAAACATATTA